CTGATCTCCACGCAACATTGCAGAGGCGTGTCAACCAGGACAGCCCTACAACGTCCAGAGCCTTCAGGAACTCGGGGCGGACCTCATCAACAATATCGATACTCGTATCGGTTCAATATCGATACGAGTATCGTTGCACCCCTACCGAAAACGTCAGAGCGCTTTTGAAAATATGTGGTGTCTTGATAAACTGAGCAGATATTTGAAGTTTGTAAACTTCAAATATCTGCTCAGTTTACATTCTTGCCTGGAAAATATGTTAAACGTTTATTTTGTGACCCAGAAAGAATAATAAGAGTAATATTAAAACTAACTAGCTGCCGCTATTGTTGGAAACTGAGCAGGGCCGTGCTATGAATTCTGGGATGGGTTGGGCCACAAAGTATACACCCGACCCATCCTTCAAATTTGGGGAAATGAAGGGCGTATTTGTCAGCTGCATTTGTCGGAGTCTTCGAATTTGGATAGTCTTCGTCGTGTCACTGTAACGTAATCGGCCTACAAATGCGGGCACAGGAGGATGCGGTTTCTGAATTTGAACGCAGCTGCTATACCGGACACTGCTTCTTCTTTGAGGTTTAACGGCAGCTGGCATGCTTGTACATGCAGTGCTGCCATCTTCCGTTTCAGTCCGTTATTACACTCTCAAATCCTACTACTTATTCCTGCGTCTTTTGGGATCTTACAAAGCTTCAAATGACACGTCGACTATTAAATTAGTCATCGGCGTAATCGTGACTAGTCAACATTATAAGGGAGAGACATGACACTCAGTCCCGAATAGAAATGTAGGGAAGAACTGAGTAACTGTGAAGAGGTTGGTTATTGAGTCCCTGCCTCCAAACCAGCCACAAAATGAAAGAACCTATTGGCCAATTGTGATGTGCTAACATAAGCACACAGCTGACGTTTGACAGTTCCACATGTGTGGTGGCAAGGGTATGTCACTACATATTATTGTAGCAGACAAGTAGGAAGGTGCTTTCTTACTTTTTGAGATAATATGAAGTGCTGTGTTGTTGTTATTTTTTTTTTTAAATGTAATTGGTTTTTCTTCATTGGGATAACCAAAGGTGTTGATTGTGTTGGCTCTGTCAACCAAGCAATTAATGCCATAATTAGGGCTGCTCGATTATGGCAAAAATGATAATCACGATTATTTTCACTGAAATTGAGATCTCGATTATTTGACGATATTTATTTAGCCCTTACGACCTACTATAGAACCAAGTCCGCCAGAGCTTATATTATTTTTTTACATGTTGTAGTGCCATTTGTGGGAGCATTTCAAGTTGCTATACAACTGTTATAGCCCATATTTTAATAATATGTATGCATTAAGTCCATAGTAACTACATTAATTGCAAAAAAGTGCAATAAACTACAAAAAAATTGAAAATAGTTTTTGTTTTTTTTTACATATATTTCTACTTGGAGAAATTTAAGAGGTTTGTCCCTCAAACCTTTAAATACAATAAAGTTGCAAAAAATAGTTTACAACAACAGGAAATTTATTTTGAGTGTCTTCATAGTTTTATTTTGGAGATACACTGCAGGAAAAACAAAAAAACAATCCTATGATGCAAATTTGCACAGAAAACAGCATGTGCATCAAAATAAACTATTTCCAGCAGTGCAATTCGAGTTCTAAGCATCCCAGAAACTATTCAGAAAAGTCAAACATGACTTATAAAAACACCAGTATAGGCTTTAAAAGCCTACAAGTAAAAAAACTACATTTTCCACGAAAATTGTCACTTCCGGTTTCGGGCAGGAAATGGCGGACATGCGATAGTTCGCGCTGACGTCTGTTTCAATGTGGGAAGTGTTACGAACAGCTGATCGGATCGGCAAAGCGTGTTTCTGGAATGTTATGTTTTTGTTCCTGCAAGCCATTTTTATGCAACTTTTGCAAAGCTATATGTGGAAGGAAACCGTGACCGAGGACAAGCTGATGGCATAAGATGTAAGTACAACTCCTCTGGTTTCATATGCCAAAAAAAAAAAAAATATTGCGCTAGCTTACACGGTTCAGGTTCTACAGGGATTTAAAAATAGTTACACAAAACGGAGCATGCTGCTCTGACCGGCTTTAAAGGGTTAACAATAACAATGTATTGAATAATGACTTTAAATAATAATATAAAATAGTGTACAACACCACTGAAGTTTTGTGTTTTTTTTTTTGTTTTTTTTTTTTTTTTTTTTTTTTTTTTTTTTTTTTTTTTTTTTTAATCTCTTTTCAACCAACGGCAGTCACTCTCCTCTCCAAATAACTTCTGCTTAGCTTTCCGAGCTTTTCGAGCTTCCCTCGGGTCCTCTTAATCAGCGGTCTCCAACCTTTTTTGCGCCAAGGGCTGGTTTATGCCTGACAATATTTTCACGGACCGGCCTTTAAGGTGTCGCGGATAAAGCGAGGGGCTAATAATCGGCTCAGTCATTTTTAATGATCGTTGAAAGCCCAGATCGTAATCGTGATTAAAATTCGATTACGGTATTTCCCGGACTACAGAACGCACCTGAATATTAGCCGCACAAGCTAAAATCAGGGGAAAATCCTGTTTTGTACATACATTAGCCGCACCTGACTAAAAGCCGCAGGTGTTTCAATGTTGACTCATCATAGAGAATATGCACAAAGCGAATTGTCAGGAAAGAGACGGCTGTTTGGAGACATCACTTTTATTAATATTTTGAAAAACAAGTTATGGGTACATATTTGCATAACTTTTTAGGTATATGTACAAGTAGCGGTAATTACAAGTACGAAACATGTACTGTGCTTCATAAATGAGTAACAAATGTAGTACATAATAACCTACAGCACACCAGAAAAATAGATTCGGACTACCTTTTAGGCTCAGGTGCAGTGACACGGCTTTAACAAGAAGAAAAGTCAGTCATTCACCACCATCTTTCTCTTCTTCCTGCGCACTAAAACCACCAAAGTCCTCTTCTCCAGTGTCGGAAACGAACAGGCTCAGGATGGCTTCGTCATCCACTCTCCGCTTCTCTCCTTCGTTGTCACTTTCAAAACCAACCAAACAAATCCTCTTTGTCAGTTTCAGAGTCGAACACCCTCAGAAGGGCCGTGGCGGTGTCCTCCTCTCAATCATGCAACAGTCCAGCCCTTCGAAATCCGTTGGTGATCGTGGATGTTTTCACACTTTTCCACGCTGTCAGAATCCAATGGTGGAGTTGAGCATAACTTGCTTTTCGCAAGTTTATCGCCGCTCGTCATCCACACCTCCCGCTGAACGTGTAGCGCTACTTTGAAGTTTGCTTTTCGCGCTACTTCGTACGGCACTACGTTGCCTGGCGGATGGACATGTGACCAACATACCACTCTTGAACCCCGATCCTTCCGCCAGGCAACGTAGTGCCGTACAACAGCGGAACAAACAAAACAAATCCGCTCATGGACAATCCATAGAAAAGCCGCACCTGACTAAAAGCCGCAGGGTTCAAAGCTTGTGCAAAAAGTAGCGGCTTATAGCCCGACAATTACGGTAATTGAGCAGCCCTAGCCATAATGATGTGAAGTTATATTTAAGTTATTAAGTTATATTAAATGACATTTGGCTGGTGATTCAGTAGATTTTAATTTTTTTTTATTTTTTTTTTTATTTTCAGGTGACTATTGAAATAAAAGGTTTTATGGAGAGGTTCATTTAGATGGGGTCTCAGCCTAAGTTAGCGCCCAGATGTGTAAGCGGTAGTTAGGATGTAGTTCAGTTCGTTTCATTTTGAAAAAGGTTAGTTCAGAATCGTGTTTATTGGCCAAGTATATGTGCAGACACATACAGGGAATTTGGTTCCGGTAGATGGTGGCTCTCAAGCACAGCAATGTAAATCTCACACACACACATCTATATACACACATTACACATACATACACAAAGCTGTGTAAACAACTATAAATAACGAATCTAAACTTATATACATAAAATACAGAAATGAAATGAGGTGGAATGAATACTACAGAATGTACATAAGGTGCAGTTGCAGTCTGGCAGTGGGAGCAGTGTGACAGGTCAACTGTTAAGAAGGGAGATGACGAGGGGAAAGAAACTGTTCCTATGTTGGGTGGTCCTGGTCTGCAGGCTTCTGTACAGTCTGCCAGAGGGCAGCAGATCAAAAAGTCTGTGTCCAGGGTGTGAGGGGTCTGTGATGATTTTCCCTGCCCGTTTCCTGATTCTTGAGAGGTACAGATCCTTCTAGTTCTGCTCAATCCACCCACTATTACTCTAAACCTTTAGGTGTGTGGTACAGAAAGAACGGTTGATGTGCTCATGGTATTTCCTCCCATCTGCAGCTTTTCAGACAAGAGACATGATGTCCCTTTTTGTCTTTCTTGTTTGTTCTCCTGTGTGCACCTCTAACTAGGGAAGGGGAGATGAGGGAGATGGCGACAGAGACTGAGGAATTTATTTCCCACTTACAGCATGAAGAATAAGCTGGAAAGCAAAGAATCATATTGAGCCACATTTACATGTAGCTTTACATTCCACATTCCTAAACACATAATGGGAACAGTAACCTGCATCATGTAATGTTTGTTTCTTGTATGGTCAAAATTGATGCTCTTTGTTACTGCCATTTTACCCAAGTATGCCTCTGTGTTACCAGTGTGATCGGAGAATGTCATGTCAAAGTCACACTTATTCAAATATGGCATTCTGTTTTCAGGTGAATGTCCGGCAAGGACAGACTGTGCATGAGATTCTAGATAAAGCGCTCAAAGTGAGAGGCCTGAGCCAAGAGTGCTGTGCTGTATTTCGCCTTCTAGGAGGGTAAGATTGCACTGCTGTTTGTGCCACGTCCTCTCACATCATATTGGGAAAATGACTTTGCATTCCTTTTAGCCCACATGAAACTCTGAGAGGCAACAGTGAACACCTGTCACAAGACTACATGTTAGACAAACACATGTATATAACAGAGGCTGAAGATGTAATGTGAAGTTGATTCAAAGGCTGAAATGGTAGAAAAGTCAATATGCATTGATAAACAACTAATATACAATTAATTATTATTGTGCATTTTTTCCTTTTTTTTTGTTTGTTACCATAATGCATTTGAAGGGTTTCCTGTGTAACGATGGGTAACATTCCTATGCTTCATTAAATATTAAAACAGTCTTAACAAAGGGAAAGAATCACTGACCTTCTGTTCAAACTTTAGCTACGCTAGTAGAATCTCAGGATAAAAGTTGGAAATGACCATGAAAGATCCACTTTAAAGAGAAAAATGAATGAAAGTAAAAATTTTACTCTAGCTGTCTGTGAACATTGAACAGCTTAAAGGTAGAATTTGTAATTTAGCAGTTTTGGTGCTTCAACATAGTTGTAAACTGTTTTCTCGCACCATAAACAGTTGTTGACATTTCTGAGAAACTCATTGATATACAAATTAAGTGCATGGCCAATTAGGATAATGAAGACCTCTCCGTTGTTATTTTTTTGTTATCTTAGCCATTTTAAACCTTGAAAGGGGTTTCAATATTGGTGATATGTACAAAGAGTGTTTCTAAATGTTCCTTTTTTTGCCCCTCTAGTCGAAAAAGACTGACGGACTGGGACACAGACATAACTCCTCTAGTTGGAGAGGAGCTTTTAGTTGAGGTCCTGGATGATATTCCCCTGACCATGCACAACTTTGTAAGTATCTCACATACCTGTGTATAAAATGTTCATAGCTTATGTGAAATACCTTTTGTTCATACGTTTTTGGCCTGTGATACTCTAATTGAATTGCTGCTGTTTTTAGCCTTGATGGTCTTAAATGTTATTACTGCAAAGTAAATTTCATGAACTCTATCTGTATAGGTACGCAAAACTTTCTTCAAGCTGGCTTACTGTGATTTTTGCCACAAGTTCCTTTTCAATGGCTTCAGATGTCAGACATGTGGCTACAAGTTTCACCAACACTGCAGTAGCAAGGTCCCCACCGTGTGTGTGGACATGGATACTATAAGAGAGCGGTGAGTTGGAGTAGTGTTTATCGTTGGCTGTACCAGATGCTTTGCTGGTAATATTTCACCAAGAGAAGGTGGCTAGTTGGAAAATAAGTCCTATTTTTAAGGAGGGCCACAATTCTATGGATTCAGACGATATTTTCCAGACTTTGCAACATGATGTCGACATATAGGCCATACAGGTTTTTTTTTGTTTTGTTTTGTTTTTTTGTTAGTTGTTGTTTTTTATAGCTGCCATGTTGCCCTGTAATTTTGATTACAGTAGCTGAGATGGACATTGTATTCTGGTTAATCATGTTTTATGTAGAGACATACATAGTAAGCCTTTTGTGATCTTTAAAGGCTTACTATGTAAGCCTTTAAAGATCACAAAAGGCTTTTAAATGCTCTTTCCTCATTTCCACCTCATCCTCTTCACCTCAAGCCTCATCTCCTGAACTGCAGTCAAGGCTCTAGCACACAAAAACATGCAAAAACATGCTTCTTTATTCCCAATATTATTGCAATTACTTATTGTAATTAGACTCCAGACAGCTGACTGCCAACTAAACGGCTGGTTATAAGACTTGGCCAGCTAACGTTAGACTGCAGTGTCCTAAAAATCACACTTTCCTTCTGATAAACAGTTTGAGTGCATTCTCCTTGTGTATAGGAGTTTGTCCGCTAAATGTTTAAGTTCAACAATGTTGGATCCACTTCAAAGAGAGTTTCTCTAATGCTAACAGCAGCGTTTACAAAAGAAAAGGTCAGGATATGTGTGTGAAGGTTCTTGGTCATCCTGGTCATTGTCGTCTAAGGAGCTGTGAATTGAAGAAGCTTCTCGGATCAGAGGTGAAACGTCTTCCAAGAAACTCAAAGTTCAGACGTTTTTCTTTCCAGTTCAGGATATCCTCAACAACTCACTCAACTCATATTGGCCCCTTTCACTGTCTTAGCTGACTAACACGTTTCTCCTAGAACAGCCAACGTAGCTAGGATTATGAACTTGAATTGGGAGTGTTAAAAAAAACAACAACAACAACATTTAGTTGACTGCAATCTGCAATCTACTAAAATCTAATGATTTTTACACACTGTAATTTTCCTTCTGCACTCTTAAAATAGTCTTTTACTCTAGTCTTTGTAAATAACTTTATTGGGACTGATTGATTAGAGCAGGGCGATATGACCAAAAATATTTATCACAATATACATTTGAAAACTTGCGATAACGATATAATTGACACTAGACAAAATACTTTACAACTCCACAACTTTGATGGGTTTTTTTTGCTCTAATAATTTATTTTCACTTAAAAAAAAAACAAACAGCTGCCTGTTTATGTGCGTTCTCTAGTTAAAGTTAAAGGCATTTTTCAGTGGAAATTGGCTGACATATCCTCAGCATAACCATGTATAATATCCACAAAACTTAAAAAGAGGTTATACACACACAATACGGAAATATTATGTTGAAGCACAGTACGTATCACTCCGCGAGGCTCCTGCCTACGATAGCCATAATGCTCCAGCAATCCATCAAGCGGTGCGGGTTCGTAGCTTAGCAAAGTCGTACTAAAACATTTGACAGATTTTCCAGTGCCGTGTACGACATAAAATCGTTTCGAGGTCAGTAAACACAACCAGAATTCATACATAAGGCACACGGGATTATAAGGGGCACTGTTGATTTTCAGAAAAATCAAAGGATTGATTTTAAGTGTGCCGTATTTTCCAAAAAACACAGTAATAACAACGGCCCGCTAGCATGCGCTACCAAAAATAGTGCTTTGTCGTGTATCTGACAGACAAAAGCTAAACCAGTGCCACACCACTGAAGTTGCAGCATTTTTACAAACCAATTCTGGTTCATCCGTTTTATTCAACGATCCGCTTTCGCCCTTCTCATTCTCCGTCGCCGCCATGCTTTTTCCACCATGTGCGTATGAAAACAAAGGCACTGCGCGTTTTACCCATATTCGATCGCGATATTTCATTTTCTTATCGTTGCCGAACGTTATACCAGTGTTACCGTGAACGGTATGGTATGGCCCAGCCCTAATGATGATGAAAAACAAGTAAAACACCTGAAGTTCTTAAAATTCAGAACAGTTTCAGGGAAAAATGGAGATATACGGACCATCTTTTTGTGATGTGCCTAGATGATCAGATTCAGACTTGACATTAAAAAAACGGTGCAAATATGCACTTACTACTTAATTATTTAGTACTAAATAATAGAAATTTTGCACATAATTGGAGCCTGAATAGTATGAAACTTCTGTGATAATGTTTAATTGTTTTCTTTCAACCCTATGTCCAGTTCTGATCCCAGTCCTTGCCCAGATGGATACCCACAGATAATACTGCCAGAAAATTCCCCCACGCAGAGCAACCCAGCCTTAACCCCAGAGCCTTCTGGGTAAGCTGGGCAGATGGCGTTCTATCAAAATTGCAGCATTGCTTTATTTTGTGAAATGTATATTTTAATCAAAATTTTGGCCTTCTTTTCTTTTTGCTCAGAATGGGCCACCTGTCCCCATCCCCGTCCTCAACCTTTCACTTCCCCATGTCAGGCGGAGATGGTCAGTCTCTACAGAGGCATCGCTCCACATCTACTCCCAATGTTCATATGGTCAGCACATTGGACCCTGCTTCTGCCATGATTATAGAGGTTGGTGTTGGCTGCTTGTTTGCTTTTGCTTGAAGGATTGTCACCTCCACTGTGTATTCATCAAAATAACTTTGTTGCATATCTCTTCTTAGGAAGCACTAAAGTTCAACAACACAATAGGTATGCTTTCCATTTTTTCCCCTCTCTTCTGTTTTAGAATACATTTGTTATTCTATGCATGACACTTATGTTGTGCTGTCTCTTGTTGCTGCAGGTCCTGAACCCTCACCTAAGCCCTCCACCAGCCCGCCCTGTTCTTTTGGCTCTCCAGGGAAGAAGCCACCAAAGTCCCCTTCGGAACCCAGGGAGCGCAAGCCCTCGTCCTCTGATGACAAAAAGAAAGTGGTAGGGTGTCTTTAACATTGTTCACAGGCCACTGGTCACTTAACATATTCACAAGGGCAACCTTTGAATGCATTGAACTGCTATCTCTTTTTAACAAATTTAACAGTCAATCTGTTGTTTCAGCACCGAGGAGGCAACAGAGATTCAAGTTACTACTGGGAGGTCCACTCTCGAGAAGTCAACATCCAGAAGAGAATAGGTTCTGGCTCCTTTGGAACTGTCTTCAAGGGAAAGTGGCATGGAGATGTGGCAATCAAGATCCTCAAAGTCAAAGAGCCAACGCCTGAGCAGTTACAAGCCTTTAAAAATGAAATGCAGGTGTTGCGGTGAGCAGTGGTTTACATGACTTTAACTTTGTTTTATTTGCACAAATCTTTCCACAACTGCTGCTGGTGGTGGAGTTATTAATAATGGTAATGATATTAGTATTATTAACGCTGCATAAACTGGTTTTATTAACACCAGTTCACATTGTTATAGCACTTTAACTCTTAACAATGTGGTGACTGTAACTTTCTGACTGCGGATGAGGTAATGGAATTTGTAAGTTTCACTATTTCTGTTCTCTACAGGAAGACCCGCCACGTCAACATCCTGCTGTTCATGGGCTTTATGACTAAGCCTAACTTTGCCATCATCACACAATGGTGTGAAGGCAGCAGCCTGTACCGCCATCTGCATGTCTTAGAGAGCAAGTTTGATACTGTGCGTCGCATTGATGTGGCCAGACAGACAGCACAGGGCATGGAGTAAGACTTGCTGCAATATTCCATTTCACCATCATCACTTAGTCAGGCCAAGTAGCAGACATCAAGTCTTTTTGTAGTGCAAGAAGTTCATTCTGTATACAAATGTTTGGCACCCATGAATTTAATTTACTAGTTTTCAAATTGTTTTTTTTGCTTTGTCTTTCAGTTATCTTCATGCAAAGAACATAATTCATCGAGATCTAAAATCAAACAGTATCCTTCTCTTGTGCATGGTGTACATAAGTCCAGTCATTGTGTGTTTCTGAGTTTAGATAGCTGTACCTTTTCAACCCATAATCACACGTGCTAATTTGAGCCTCATGCTCTGCAGTTATTAAAGGTTTAACAACACACAAAAAGCATTTCCTTTTAATAGACAGTGATATACAGAGCAGCCAAACCATTAAAACTGTGATGTGTCAGTACTCTTAACACAAGAAAAGAAACAAACTCTATGCTGACTCTTACCTTGAAGACACCTCTCCCTTGTTTTCATGAAGAGGCCAATTTAAGATGATACGGTGCATCACTGCTGTCAGGGACAAACATTTGAATTTGAAACTAAGGTATTAAATTTGAGTTTGTCGAGTCATTCCACACTATCAGGTGGACATTTCTTTGTTTCCCATTGTTTACTTTGGGTAGTTTCCTCTGTCAGTCTCACTTTTTATAACTTCTTTCTTGTGAAATGTTTATGCAGTAACTGATATCATGAAAACGTCCAGCAGCTGTCTGTTGTATTTTTCTGAGATTTGCTGCCAGATATTTTTCTCCATGAGGGCTGGACTGTTAAAATCGGTGACTTTGGCTTGGCTACAGTGAAGGCTCGATGGACTGGCTCTCAGCAGGTAGAACAACCCAGCGGATCCATTCTCTGGATGGTAAGGATACTTAACATGTTTATTGTAGAGCTCAGTCTATGACATTTTAAGGCCAGTAGGGGGAGCAGTTTTTGAAAAGATTTTGGGTTTTATAGAACACTAGAGCAAAATGAGCCTCTGCTCCTTTCTATGAGTACTCAATTCTGTTTCAGATGAGTTCTTGGGCTAAATTGCTAGTTTCAAGTCCTATTAAATTTGAAAATTTCAGCTTGTAAGTTCAGCATACAGAATCTCTTGTTTTGCCAGTCGGATCCACCTGTTCTCGTGACATTGATTTTAAAAATCCAACATGGCAGCAGCTAGAACATTTAACTTGACTCTTGATTACATGGTAAATGGACTGATTCTTACATAGCGCTTTTCTACTCTCCGGAGTACTCAAAGCGCTGTATACAACATGCCTCATTCACCCGTTCACATAAGCACTTCTAAACACAAGTGCAAACTAATCTACATTCACACTCCGATGAACGCATCGGAGGGCAACTTGGGATTAGTATCTTGGCCCAAGGATATTTGACATATAGATTGGGGAAGCCAAGGATCGAAGCACCAACCTTCCAATCAGTTGCTGATCTGCTCTACCACCTGAGCCACAGCCACCCGTACATGAACTGTGGCTGTGTCTTCTTTCACCTTCAGTCTGACATTGCCCTTACTTAAATTGTTTTCTACGAGGGAGCTTTTTTTCCCTCCTAACTAGTTACTAAAGACCAATGGCTCTGTCTGAAATCTAATGTGTTTAAGTCCCCACTGATACGTCGCTATGCCGACAGACATAACAAACTGCAGTGTCGGTGATTAGTGTTATTACTCCTCGGTTCTAGCTTGGCAACAGTGTTGATCCTGCCCGTGGCCACAATTGGCTGATTATCCAGCTTCCCACAGCACTCATTGGGCAGGTTCCTTTTTCTATTGGGACTGTTGTGTCATGTCACAGTGCCACATGACAGTCAAGTTGGTGGAGTTGACTGAAATCATGCACCAAAGAGATGTCAGGTTCTGACTGTGCTGGGTGCCACACACCACAAAAAAACTGTTTTGGTAAAGAAATTGTCGATCTTTAGTAATACTTTTACATCATGTCATTCTTCAGCTGCTGATACTTGCAAGATGAGCGGCTGATGCATACTATTACCAATGCATGTTAATGTTGTCCTTTATAACCTGTGTACATCTTGAGTCTTGACAGGTTAAGTTATATTGTTCGTTTGACGACTTTTCTTGAAAAGTGATTACTGTTGATACCATAAATAACATCAAGTCACATCTGTATCATTAACTGTAAAGCAGAATAATAGAAATATGATGGTTTTTCATTGTATATTGGAACCCTGGAAGTTTTCCATCCACTTGTTTAAACACAGTAAAGGTCACACGCACATTATTTGATAGACCCTATATCCATACATGCAGTTTTTATGTACAAGGGTTTGTAGTGTATTTGCTTCTAATCTGGTTAAGTCACACCATCTTTACAAAAAGCTAAATTAGTGTAATCGGTAGTGTTAAAGTACCTCTTTGTCAGTTTTTAATTCATTTTTTCCTCTCTCCTCTCATTAGGCTCCTGAGGTGATCCGCATGCAGGACACAAACCCATACACGTTCCAGTCAGACGTATATGGCTACGGAGTAGTTCTGTTTGAGCTGATGTCAGGAACCCTGCCTTACTCCAATATCAACAACAGAGACCAGGTTCCATTACCCAGTTTATTCTAGTTTATGTTAACACACAACACTGAGTCAGTCTAAAATATCTGACTGACTCTTTCTGAAGATTTTGTTAATTACTATTAACATCAAAAATATAGCCATAGAGTAAGTCACAGTTCCAATAAACTAACAAATATTAGTAGAGTTCAGTAGATAAACTGTTAAATGTAACTCTGAATTAAATAATTCATCTGGAACACATGAAGCAAATTTTGTGTGACTTGACTTGTGGCCCAGTTTCTTAAGCTGTCTTCAGACCTTTGATGTAATACTTACGTTTGTTCTGTAGCTCACCTTCTTCGGTCCTCTTTTTCTTTGTCAGATAATCTTCATGGTTGGACGTGGTTACCTGTCTCCAGACCTCAGTAAGCTGTATAGTACCTCACCCAAAGCAATGAAGAGGCTGATCGTCGACTGCCTGAAGTTTAAACGTGATGAAAGGCCCCTTTTTCCACAGGTCAGTCTTGTATGGTTTATCACTTTAATAAAAAATATCCTGCAATGTTAAAATGTCCTGTGACTCGACATTCTAAGGGCTTTCTTTAAATTTAACTTGAAACTTTTACTTTATCCAAAACTTTTGGCGACAACTGGGTTCTGTCAGAAAGATGATCATTTATTGTAGGGATCGAACCACCAACCTTCCGATTAGTAGTTGACCTACTGTACTGCCTGAGCCACAGTCACTCCTCTGTATCAATCTAAAGAGGGTTTGTTTTTGGAAGAATTTAGGTGAACATAAAGACCTGGAGAAATTTTTGGTGTAAAGCAAGATACAGCAGGACTGTAGGCCACCAGTGAGGAATCTTGCACAGGATGCTTTAATGAAAGTTCTGGAAAAGCAAATCGGAGTGTTCAATACAAATAATTTGCAAGACATGGACGTGTCATTGTAGTTGCCTGTAAATTCATACTATCCTTTAAATCAGGTGACTGCCAAACCATATGCAATGTAGTTGCGTAATGCTGACAAAACTATAGTCTGTAATTTTCCTAATATTTCTGTCCTTCCTCAGATTCTGGTGTCCATTGAGCAGGTGCAAGATTTGCTGCCGAAAATCGAGCGGAGTCGCTCCGAGCCGTCGCTCCATCGAGCTGTCCATGCTGAGGACCTGAACCCCCTCCTGTTCCACACCACCAGGCTCATGCCCCTCTAAGCTCTCCACAGCACACAGCAAAGAGGCCGCCAACCTGTCAAGGACCACAGCATTCCAGTGCCTCAAAGAGGCCACAGCTGGCTGCTCTCCACCATTGTGGAGCTGCAGCTCTCAGCAGCAAAACTCAGTAACAGACTGTAGAAGTAACCTTAGTCTGACAGTGAATTTTTTTATTTTTTTTATTTTTTATTTTTTTCCCCTTCAACAAATGACACGCACATGCCCATCAGGTGAAAGAAAGACCTTCTGTTTGTAGACATATGTGTAAAATGTCTGCTCTTGCCAGCTGAGAAAGTCAATCGACATCTCGACTTGTATTTGGCTCTTAGACCTGCTTTGGAGTTTCAGTTGTTCTAAAGAAACTCACATGGTTGCACATACAGTGCAAAAGAGTCTAATTCAGATCTTTGAGGACTTAAATCAGTCATAGAGCTGGAGCTGCTGGTTCAAGTCACATGATCCACTTACATACTCCATGCTCAGCGGGCATGTGCCCCTTTCACTGTAACACAGCATAAATGGAATGGGGACCTGAGATGTAACGCCACTCATTTGAAAGCAACTCTTTTTGAATACGTGCCTGACGTGATATGTTTTGTAAAAGGTTAGATGTTTGCCCCCAGTGTGGACTTTCAGCATTTACTGGTCTTGCAAATATCTATACAAGACCTGGCAACTTAGAACACTGAACTATGCAAAGAAGTTTATGGAAAAAAAATGTATACCAGTTGCTCATTTAACCTGTTATAGTCTTTTGCTGTACATGAAGCAAAGCAGTGAAAGGCCTGGAGGTAGATATTTTCTTTCACTAACATAAAACATAAATGTATCTTGTCAGGTAGATATTCTTCAAATAGGAACTTTGAAATGCACTAAATTCATCTGAGGATCAAGTTTCCATTGATGCTGTTTGTGGGGGGATGGAAAGTCAGTGAGAAGGGCCTGGCAGAACTGGCTGCATGTCCAAATTTAAACATTACAAATTACAGTTTGAGGGTTTGAAAGTTATCCCATTCCTTAAATCCTGTGTTTAGTCTTAAGAATGTGCTGTTTCAAACAAACTTTTAGTAAAAGCAGTTGCCCACCCCTCTACCCTTTTCAAGTCCTGAAACATCACCTAACTTGTGTCACTTACCAGGCAACACTGTGATACTTTTAATGTTCCAAGTCCACTGAACACGGGGACTAAATGGTTAGGATCAATACTTCAGCAGTGGATGTTATTCATTTCTAAACCAAAATGTTTTCCAAAGTGAAATGTTAGTCAGGTCATCAGAGGACATTGTTGTTAGAAATGTACAGATGTAGTTTCAAGGGCTCAACAGATGGCTCATTTCAATTCCAGGTGTAAACTGAGGTTTCCATGTTGAGGCACGCACCTTACAGCTCTCACACTGCAGGAACAGCAGAGTGCCAGCCTCTGCACCACATGGGCTTAAGTGGTTTGTTGTATTGCTGCTACATATTGTGAGTGTTTTGTACACCTTAAAGATTGAATTGCTTGGTACACAGCTTCAACAGTGTTGGCTAGTTTTTCCACACTCCAGAGGTCCATTCTCCAATGCTGCAGTCCCTCGTCCATAGTTAACTCACACATATCCGCATATTCTCAAAATATTTCTATAGCTGTGGGGCATGCCTTAAAACTGTGAGAACCTTGGTTGATTAGTTGTTCTAATTTAGGCTTGAAGAGGTGTGTACATTTTTCACAAAAGTGAGATCACATCTAAAGGCAAATGTGCAAACTCTGTTGTGATGGCCACAAATCTACTCTGAAGAAATAGCTGAATTATTAAAATCTGTAGTATTCAGAGAACAGAACAAATGTCAGGGTTGTCTAGTTTGCTCGTCCAGCCGTTTGTATGTTACCCACCAGGAGATTGCTTTAAGCTTGTACCCAGTTGATTTTTCTTTGGTGGGATGCTCACTTGTTATGAATGAAAGCCCTGCATTTTATTTTCCTGAGATTGAATTAGTTGCCGCACAGCAAGAAGGTCCTGAGTTCAATTCCACCATCAGGCCGTGTGGAGTTTGCATGTTCTCCCCGTGTTTGCGTGGGTTCACTCCGGGTACTCCGGCTTCCTCCCACCGTCCAAAGACATGCAGCTTGTGGGGATGGGTTAATTGGATAATCTAAATTGCCACTAGGTTTGAATGTGAGTGCGAATGGTTGTCTGTCCCTGTGTGTTGGCCCTGTGACAGACTGGTAACCTGTCCAGGGTGTACCCCGCCTCTCGCCCTATGACAGCTGGGATAGGCTCCAGCGCCCCCCGCGACCCTGAAAATGATAAGCGGAAGTGAATGGATGGATGAATTAGTTGAATATTTACTCGCCTCTGTGCCTCTGAGGCGGCTCGGTCCTGCTTCATGATGTCTTTCAAAGAAATACGCATGTGCTCAGGGTTCAGCTGGGCTGGTTTAAAAGCTAGTAGCCTTAGCTGGTGATCAGTGATAGTGTGTGGCCTTGTTTTGGGGGTTTGTGGAGAGAGGGGGAGAGAGAGAGAGAGATATATATCTAGATAGATATCTAATTTGTTTTTTTCTTTTTGCCCCTCTTTCAGCCCCTCATTTTTGCTCATTGTAATACTGGTGGGAAATATTGTCTTAAAAAGCCTTTACTCATCTTTACTTAAAGCTTATCAGCCACAACAATTTCATTGCCATCAACAAAACGCAGGATACTGAAGATCAGCCACTGCTCTTCTTCAGTGTAATCCTTTGTAGATTTGTAGTACTGACTAATGAAAGAAATGGAAGCGATAGTCATATCTACAGAACCTTTAGTTTCTCCTTCAGCTGGACTGTTAGCATCTTCGGGCTAGTGCTCACAGGTTGACCTGACAATGCAGTCACTCAAAGCAGATTTAATCCATAGTAAATTAAGGGCACAGACGCAACCCTCTCTGTGGTGATTTTGGTGACTTAACAGTAGGGGATCAGGAGCCATGCCTCCTGGTCTGTCCTAACAGTGCTGTATTCTGAGGCATTGACTCTTGCTGGTCGTGTCTCGCCCAAGTGAAGGCAGTAGGTGTGAGGTGATGTTTCAGGCTTCTGTGAATCCTGCAGGTGATGTGACAGACATGAAGCAAAACTCCTGTTGATGCAGATGTCTGTCACTAATGAACTGCTAATTTAATATTCTCATGTTAATCTAGGGGCTGGGTACCCTGACTGATGCTCATTCCAGTTATGTGGTGGGTGTGGGAGAGGTTTTGTGGTGGGCTTTTTTTTTGTTTTGCTTTCCTATTTATTGATGTTATTGCAGATGTCAGAGTACAGCACTCTGAAATGGATCAGATGTTTACTGGGAATGTTTATCTTTGAAATGTTCATCAGCACCAGGCGCTCTCTCGCTTTCTTTTTTTCTCTCAAACATTCTCAACATGAATGTATGTTTCGGCGCGGTACTGTTGGCTCCTCTGTTCACTCGGACTCTGTCAAATGCAGGGACATTTCTAGCAACTTTGCTTTCACACATCCTGAGCACAAATGGGTGTCAACATATTTTTTTTTTTTCTTCTTCTCTAAGCAAGATGTTGTCCATAGGGTTTCACTACAATAGCAACACTTAGGGAACTGTAACTAACGGGTATTTGAATGGCCTGAAGCTGCTGAATGAAATCTTTGTTTTTCTTTTTTTCTAAATGAGCTGCTTTTTATAAACATTCAGAAAAAGCAAAACTTTTTTTTTTAAAACCACAATATAAGATCAGGAGTGCTTTGGTATAACGTCAGCAGACCAGGTTTTCTGTGCATCTGTAAAAAGTAGAGTGGGTTTGGAGAGCTTATTGAACCATTTTGTGCTCAGTTTCACATTGAGGGGATGCCTCCCGAACGTCTTCATCTGGAGGATGAGGGAACAGGTGCCACATCTCTGTTCAAGTGGACCTGAACAGCTTCAGGAAACATGAGATTCTCATCTGGAGACTCAAAGGGCCACCATAATATGGGGGAAGAGAGGCACTGCGACTGTTTCAGAGGATGAGAGCTGTGTCAGAGTAGTTTCTTATTTTATTTTATTGTCTTTTCATATCTGTAGGTGAGTTGGAGTACTTGTCTATAGTTTCTGAGGTGTCAGGGGTGTTAATTTGCAATAAATAGTGTTTTCTGCTGTGTACAGTCTGTTTCTTTTTTGTTTTCTTGTTACTGTTTTTGTGATTTCAAAGAGAACAATTATTTTAACATGTAAATCATTTTTTTCTTAAGGGGTGTGTGTGTGTGTGTGTGTGTGTGTGTTGTGATCAGTAATGATGCAGGATTTATTCTTTAAATAAATGAATTCATCTGTAACTTGTTGTTTTTAGCTTTCAGTACAATTAGTGGAATCTTGTTTGTCTGTTTGGGGACACAGTTTGTTTCATCAGCTTACCAAGTGAAACATTTAACTGGTTTTTAAACGACGACCTCTCGACCCGCTTAAGCTTAAAACTAAATCTTGTTCAGGGAAACTCGCTGAACAGGGTCAAAAGAGGAAGTGGTTATTTTTAAGGCTCCACCACAGATCAGTAAATGGCAAGCTATAAACAGGAAGTCATCTGACAGCAAGATTGTTCAGAAGTCTACAGAACACTGTTTATGCTCTTTATTTTTATAAAGTTAATTGATCTCCAAACGTTGATTCTGTTCATCTGGACGTAGCGTTTTGTGGGAGAAACGTTTCGTCACTCATCCAAGTGACTTCTTCAGTCTCAGCTGACTGCAGGTTAATTGGATGTTTCCAAATTTGTAAGTAAGTAGTTTATTAAAGACTAGTACAAAGGTAATATTTTACAGAAACTGTTTTAAAAAGTTGACAGACCTTAAGATAAACTTGGCACCAAGCAAGTTCTGTACAAAACTGAACTCAGCACACAGCTTCACCTGAAATGGAGTAGTGCACTGAAGGTCAAAGGTGCCAGAATTTACAGTTATACTTTATATTCAGGTACATAAACAGGTTTAAGCTTTAGGCAAGAGTTTAGAAAAATAGTTTTCTCATTTTAAGTAAGCTTTTCCAGAAACTTTCCCTCTAGTTCCTAAAGAACTTTACAGTGATATTTACTGTAAAATGGGAAGATCATGTTTGAAGGTATTCAGAACTTGTAGCCCAGTCCAGATCTGCTAATGTGGCAGAACAGTGTCATGGCAAAGCACATTCCCAAAACCTGTAAACAGAAAAATAGAAATTAAACTGGAAAAGGACATAAAATGCAATGTTGTACTGTTTTATAAAAAAAGTTATTCTGAGCTTCTCAAGCTGACTGAAATTTCATTGGGTTTATGCTTGTTTATATGAAGTATTTTTATTCCTTTTGCAATCTAAAGAGTGGTCTTTTCTTCCCTGATCCATTCTAGAGCTGTTTTTTTGTTTTTGTTTTTTTTTGGATGTGACAGTGGACATTGTCCAGCTGGAGGCCCACTTTAGTAAGTGGGAGGGGAGCAGGTCTTGGGCTGTATCCCAATTCAGGGTCTGCAGCCTTAAAGTACGCAGCCTCAACGATCCTCAAAGGCCGCGTACTCAAAGACCGCTAAGGCCGGAAGTGCGAGGCTTGTGAAATGGGACGGTCTAGCCTCCGTTGCGCTGCCCAGGTTGCCTAGCAACCATGATACTAACAGCTAGAAACGTTTCATACAGCTTTGTTTGACAGAAATGAAGGAGAAAATCGTTTGTTCATTTGTTTGTTTGTTTCTACATGAGCTTTGATCATTCTCTGTAAGATTAAGCTCAGCTATTGAACGGCGTAAATTTTAAAGTAAAGGCTTTAAAACCAAGTTAGTACAAACGTCACTAATGTCACATAACTTTGCCGACATGTGGCCAACAGTAATGTTTTAATGTTCTTCGTTATTAAACATTTGCACATAAATAAGTGACATAATATTCAGCACTTAGTTTACTAAGTTACTCTTCGGGCGCCCCTCATCCGCTGTTTTTTTTTTCCGCCAAAATTATCCACACCCACCACCGCGCTATGCATTCTGGGATATGTTGGGCCACGAAGTCTACACCGCCACGTCCTTAAAATTCGGGGAAATGAAGGACGCATTTGAGGGCCGCATTTCGAGCAGCCTTCGAATTGGGACTTCGAATCGTCGCGTCGCTGTGACGTAATCGGCCTTAAAATGCGGCCTTTAAGGCTGCAGACCCTGAATTGGGATACAGCCTTGGTCTGCGGCAATCATAGACTGTATATGAAGGATGGCTGTAGCGGCTTTAACGTCACACATTATTTTGCCATTGCCAGATAGCGAATGTGACTGATATACAGGGATGCTGGACAGTCATTGGTTAAAGACATGTAAACCACTTTTATAACTTTAGTGGGGACTAGTCTTAACAGTAAGATGTGAAACTGGCAAAGTATAAAGTCATCAGAAAAATGTTTAGCATGAAGTGAACTGAAAGTTAATTTTTCTTACATTTCTGTACATCCTAACTTCTATTCCAAAGCAGGAGTTGGCCATTAGGACAGAAGAATGTAGGTTAAAAGTACTTGACCATTAGCTTTTTATTATTTTATTTTCAAGAGCTGCAAGCTACATTCATCTCTTATTTCCTTTTTTCTCTTCACTCCCAACCAGTTTTACCAGATGGCTCTCTGCCACTGTCACTGGCTCTTCTGGCTCTAGTAGATGTAACATGGGCTGCAAGATGGTTTCCACCAATGTGGAATTACCAAAAATAGAGAGGGCATAGCCTAACATATGAAACAGGAAAAGACCGCTGTGTAATCCATTTATTTCAACAAAGTAACTGTATTCGGAATACCATGTATTCAGTTACTCCCGCACACTGTCTGGAGATCTCTTCCTGTCAAAAAGTTCTTTCTCCCCACCATTGCCTGGTACTTGCTCATAATGGGTTATCTGATCATCAGAGTTCTCTCCATCTAATATTGAAGGATCTTTATAGTATAAAACACACTGAGGCCATGGTTGTTAACTGCTAGAAATTAAACCATACAGTCAAAGGCAACAAAGTTTAGGTATATTTTAACAGGAAGATGCCACGTTTCTGAGCAGAACATTGTATTAACCAATTCATTCACTTTATAATCCAGTTGTCTTTTATACAGAAGTGAAGATGGTAATTTCTGAGACATGGTACATCTGCAGGTTCATAGATTAACTTTGCAACACCTGCGTAAATAGTATGTTAACAGCTTACCTCAATCATACAGAGGACAATGACAGAGACCCCAATGGTTAGGAAATTCTTCTCAAAAAAATTTGTCACCTTTGACAAACAACCCTGCACACAAAACATTTTGAAATTACCTGCAGCAGTAACAATGTGACCTTTGACCTCTATGGTACATTAAAGCAAGTATGAATCTGAAAGGATCAGTGATTAGTATGAGCCTACCGTTTGCCTGTATTTATGACTTTTACAAGAGGGGTCCTCAGGAATACAGCAGGATTCTGGCACGTTGTTTCCCCAATCTGTTACATTATTGATTCCACAGCAGTCAAGCTAAAACAAATGAATTTGACAGACAAAAAAAATAAACAAATTTCTAAAGTCATTTGTGTCACAACATGACATCTCCACTCTGACACACTTACTTTTTCTTGAATATTATCCCAGTCACTTTGTTTTGAATGTGTTGAATTTCCTTTTGCATCATTCAAGCCCTTTATCAGATCGGTCTTCACTCTTTCAGTAATCTGAACAGTAACGGAGGATTTGGTGATTACATACAACGTATACATTTGCTTTAAAAACAGAACATATTGTGTATAGCATATGTGTCACACACTTCTCCCTCGTATACAAGTAGCAGACATGCTGCTGTCAGTTCCAAGAGCATCATGAGGAAGAGCATCAGGAAAAACTGTAAAAAATAAATAAAAAGGTTTATGTGAATGTTACTCTGAAACACTTTACATACACATATGAAACGGTACTGTATAGTGAAGTTATTTTCGGCTGCTAGTTCACAGCATGTAGCTCAACATGTCTGATTTCGAGAACGTTTTAAACTTGAATGCGCATAAATGCCCATCTTTGTGTTTCCTCCTAGAAAACTAGAAAAACTAGTCCCGATTAACATCTAAATTACCTTTTTTCCCAGAGAACTGACTCTTTAGATATTTCCGTTTGTTACATAAATGCTATTTTTGTAGCATTCAAAAATTGGAGTACACAACAGTGAAGAGGCAGTGTTAGAGAGCCCACCCCCCTTATCAAAATTATACAGGCTTAAAAAACAAACAAATTATACCCTTTGGGGGTACCAAAACTAGAGTGTTAATTACCTAAAAATATGAAGTAATCAGAGGGAGCAGAAAACCACATAATCTGTACTCTGCTTTGAGTATTTGTGTGTGTGTTACCGATAGGAGGAGACAGCGGTTCTCCTTGAGTGCGCCGAGAAATCCCAGGAAGGACACGCAGGTGATGATGATGCCGGTGATCAGGAGGATGTTGGCTATGTTGAAGCTGGCCAGTGAGGGGGTGAGAGCAGCATAATTTGAACTCACCATCATGATGACGCCGAAGGCCAAAACGGCCACACCGCAGATCTGACAGAAGAGAAGACAGACTGAAGCCAAGTCCACAATACACACTACACAGAGTACAGTGAGCTGCACCGGGCCCTGGTCTGCTTCAGAGCTTGCCTACAGGCAGCAGTGTCAGGCAGTACATTTTCTCAAGTGCTTCTGCTTTTTATTTATTTGTTATGCAACAGACTTCTGGCAAATGTTGACTTTTCCTTTTCTTTTGTATCCACCAAGTCTGTGGAACAAAATTAATGAAATGAAATTGAATTAAAAAATATATTATATAATATAAATATATTATTATATTAACACTCTTTCTCTTCATGGCCTCTGTGAGTCAGGCATATCTATCTATCTATCTATCTATCTATCTATCTATCTATCTTCTCACATATTAGCAGATATTGGCTTTCTAAAATTGAACAAGCAAAATTAACTGCCTCAAACCCTAATTGGCTCACGTAATCATCATAGTAATAATACAATTACACAGAGTAAACAAAACTGTCAGAGCCTTTTTTGTGTTTTTTTTGTGTGAACTTTTGGTAAATTCTTTTAACTGATTAATTTTTAAGAATCTGACCATCTGGTAGAATATTTGAAACCCAAAGTTGACACCTGAAGCATTTATAAATACTAACTAATTTTCATATGTCTGTCACACCTGACAGTTTAGGTTTGAAAAGTGAGTGGATGAATGTGACAGGATGTTTCACAGTGATGTGTGATGTAATGCTGGATGACTGAGACATACGTACAAAACAAAGCAAGTTGGCGACACACATGGTGTACTTTAAACACTTGAGGCAGCTGTGAGCCATCTTGCAACTCCTCTGATCAGACCTGCAACAAGAAAAGGCCGTTATTTTTTATTGAATATAAATATCGGAAGCAGGGCTGGATGTGGTCAAGGTTTAATGCAGCATCTCTTATTTATGTCTTGCGTTTGTGTGTGGGTGTGTAAGTGCTAAAACAGACAAAACGTCACGGTCACAAAGCGGGGAAGTGATGCTCACACATCTCACTTCCTGTGTTTCCTCTCAGTTTACAAGCAAAACCAAAATTCTTCTTCTGTACAACACGATATGAGTGCATTATACTTTGGGAGGGTTTAAAATTACATCATGAGAGGGCAAGCAGTTTAATTGTGGAAATACCAAAACTTCCTCAAAATACAAGGTGACCCGTTCTAAGTAAAAATCTCCTGTATTTGTGTTATAAATATGTGTAAAACATCAAAATTTTGCCCTCTTTCTAACTGATCTTTGTTCTGAGAATAGAAACGAGACTTCTTCTTCTTCTTCGGCCATTTAAAACTACTAAAGTACAGCTCTTATATTTTGTTTTCCACTTAAGTCAGTATGTACACATGACAGACACTTTCAGTTAGATGACTGCCTATTTTGGTCTAAATTTGAAAGATTTTTGTTCACTTTTTCATCTTCGTGGGGTTTTCTTTTCTCACAAGTATTTTTTTTTTTTTAGAGATTTGACATCAACACGTTTCTGACCGATAAAGAAACATCTTCACAATATTCTGAAGATTTAAAGAGATCTCTAGAGCTTCAAGACAAAATAAAGTTTAACTCTTACCTATTTGGAGAAAATGATATCTGCTATCGTCTCTGTTTTCAGGCGTGTGCTTGTCGAGCTCGTCTGCTGTTCGTACTTCCCCTTCTCATAGCTCTGTGAAGCTTGCAGAGTACATCATGGGGCTTTCAGCAGCCCTTCTCACTTCCTCTTCCTAAAGTCTAGCAACATGGAAAGAAACTGATGACTGAGAAAGTGCAGTAGGGACAGCCAATAGCGCTGCAGAGACGTCAGGTGCATGTCTGTGACACACTGCTTATATTTAGATACAAGCTGAAACTGTGGTCAGCAGCTGCAGAGGTCAAAACCCCTCACTGATGTGAAATCGATTGTTAATATTCTTATTGCACAACTAGAGATAATAAAGCCCGTATGTTCGTCACAGAGGAACACAAACTGGTTAAAACATCTAACTGGTGTCATTTCTCACCTTCTCAATGTGTCACGTGCTAAGGTAGTTGTCGACATATGCAGTCCTGGTTTCATTTAGTCGTGTTGCAGAGTGTTACTTTCTTTATCAAAGGCCGCTACTCTGCATTTAATCATTAGCTACTATTTCTCAGATGGCTGCCCTTCCCTGAGCCTGTTTCTGATGGCCATTTCTTCCTGTTTAAAAGGAGTTTTTCTTTGCCACAGTTGCCAAAGTGCTTGCCTACATGGAGTTGTCTGATTATTGAGGTTTTCTCTTTCTCCCCCACCTTCCAAACATTTACCATTTATAATAAATGCCTGCCCTCTCCTGAGCCTGATTTTGTTGGAAAATCCCTCCATGTTTAAAGGAACCCCTGCCTCCCTACCAAAGTTTTGCTCGTAGGGAATATTTACATTCATGGGTATTTCCAAGTAAAAACAATCAAATGTGAAACAGTTCTCACCTGATCCCTCAGAATCAGTTCATTCTGTTGTTATTTTATATACTCAAAATTTCATTTAAACGGTCTCCTGATACCAGGCTCCTCTTCTAGCCTTTGTTTCATTCCTAATGTTATATATAACCTGACAACTAGCCTCCCCTGACATTACGCCCTGAACCCGCTGTTCCACCCCTCCCCTGCAGCTGCGCCACAGACCACACCCTGCCACACAGTCACTTTTAACACCTGAGATTGTTGCTTGTTATGGCAACAACAGGAATGGAGAAAGAACAAAGAACATTTTCTGTATAATAGACACAAAAACACTGAAAATGTTTTTAAAATTCTTAAAATCTGAGCCCACGGCAGGATGTCCAGATGTTCTCAGGACTACTGTCAGCTAATGAAAAACCTCGACACATCAGAGGCAAGCATTCAGTTTCTTCAACACTTGTTTTAGTAGTATCGTCATTTCCTGACTCACAATCAGATCATCCATTTTTATTTCATCTTATTACCAGTGTGCCAGGGTTGAAATAAAGACAGTTTTAATCTCTATCTCTGCTGCACATACAGCCAGTGTGCCACAGATCAATACGCACGAGCAAACTGAAGCATAGTACAAACAGAGTAAGGCTGACTGAGCACTGGTTCACTTTCAGGGTGAAACTAAACCACACCTTCCCGGTGGCCTACTGGGCAAATCCCTCAACCAGGGCAGCTGTAGACTAAAATACAGCGATGCATTAATGATATAGGCCAAAGTATATGACCGCTTAGTCATTCAAAGTTTACCTTATCATTACTTGGAAGCCTGTGATGAACTTCACAGCATTGTTGTGTGGGAGCAGGAACAGTGACATTCAGGAGGGGGAGCTTAGCCATCACCATTAAGAGGAACTGTGCAACCACAAATGGGGATTTAAGAGTAAAACAACTAATGTACTTTAAAAAAGGGCCTCTTAATGCACCTGGTTTGCAGTTTTTAGCTATAGTAAAACCAAGACACCGTTTTTGTTTAGACTGAAATGCCTTTGATCCTTTTGCTTCTCTTCAGGCACCAGCGAGGGTCTCTTCAGTAGTGCTTGGTTTTTCATTTTGAACTCTGTTGGATGAATTGTCATTCAGGTTCAGACCCCCTTTGTTCACTTCAAAATGAATTTTTCTCCACTTCTAGCAGCAGTTACTTTTGGAATAAGACTACTAATTCAATTCAGTTCAGTTTTTATATCACCAAATCACAACAGCATTCAGCTCAAAGCATTTAATATTGTAAAGTAAAGACCAACACCCTACCAAACAAGTATTTGGCGACCTTCAGTGGAAAGGGACAGTTTTAGACCACCAGATTTCATGTTCCAGTTACCTTCTTACTCAGATAAATAAAATTTTAACCTTTGTTAAAATTTGTTTTGTGTGTAGAGTGGGCTGGAGTGGGAATTAACGCCCTCATAAAAATCCAATTATAGCTATAACAATAGTGAGCATTCCTTTAGCATTAGTAAACAAAAACCAAATACTGTATTTAACCCGATCAACTGTTTAGGAATTATTTACATTGAGTCATCCCTCAGACAAAATAACAGAATTTTAAATATAAAAACTCTTTTTAATTCTTGAAAATTGCACCCAGTGTCTGCCTGAAGTCTAGGACTGCACATCACCAAATGCTTCATTTCCTCCGACGAGGAAATGGAGCATTTACTGCAGCTGCTTTCAGTTGTTTCTTGTTTGTGGGTTTGTGGGTCTATTTTCACTTACTGAAAAGCGGCTCTGCCGAGTTGAGATGACAACTGACTTGGCCAATAAAGAATAAACTGAGAAATTAAGAATTGTTTTTGCAGCATGCTTCGGGACGTTGTCGACTTGCACTCTGTTACAATGTGGTTTGTTTTGGATTATAAGCTGCTTCTTCCTGTCGCCACACTTTTCCCTGGGCAAGTTCAAGTTGCACCTTGTTTAAACTCTCTGTACCTCCATTCATCAATGCATCTCTTGATTGTATACATGAAAGTCTGAAAGTCTTTTTGATTTGGTTAAATATTGTGTAGCTATTTTTCTGAACCATGGACATAATCCTGTTTTCATGCATGTATCAGATTGTTGCTGATAGATGTATTTTAGTTGTTCAACTTAACAACAGCCTCTTTCACTTCCACTGCATCTCTTTTATTCTTATATTTAAGATTACAGTGAAAAGCTATAACATACAAATCCAACACTTTGAATCAGCTGCAGATATTAGATAGCAGATATGTGACAGACGCTTCATTGGTAATGAAGTAACAAGGGAACAGGCCTCACCTGGCCATGAAACATCTCGTCACTCAATTGTCTAATTACTTTGGAGCCTCTGAGGTTCTAAATCATTTCCAGCTAAAATTGCTTTGTAAAATCACTTGAATTAAAGCTGAAGTCTGCAGTTCTATCATATCTTGATGGTTTGTTGATGGTACGTTCAACAAATTATGGATTCAGCTGTAGCTAGCTGCTTTCAGCACTTTAATCTAAACCACATTAACCTTTGATTCCTGTTCACTCTTTTCTAAGTTTCTAACGAGGTATATTAGTATTCTTTCACAAAACAGTTTCACTTCTGAGTTTGCAAGATGCTTGTTTTATTACTTACATCACTGCTTCCACAGGAATTTACATGTTTACCATTCTCAGTTCCACTGACTTATCATCTTAGATCCAAACACAGCATGCAGCCTACTCATCATTCTGTGCAGGATGAAATGTTCTGGCTGGTGTCCTGTGTGTCCATTTATACTGTATTGTGTTGGAGAAGCAATCCAATTTTTTCTTACAAGTCTAACTTCTCAAACTCATAAAATCAGGATAAAATGAGCTTAAAACAACATTTTTGCTCATGGATGATATCTCCATAACACCTTTGGATACACTCAAGAGAAACATATTAAAATCAAATAACAGAAAACAAGCGAGGCACTCAGTCTCTGATAAAAGTTGAAGTTAGCATTAAAAAAAGACAACTGTGTATCAACTCTGTCTTCATCAGGGTTAGGCAGAATGAAATATCAGCCGTGGGCCTTCAACCAGCACCCGAGTCAAGGTATACAACCCATAAGGAGACCTAAAATAAAACATAAACCTCAAATATGTCAAAAAGTCATAATGCACTACATAACACGAAGCTAAATTTTACATTTTCTACCTGCCTCAGTGAAGAGCATCAGAGCCATGCAGTGCTTCCATCTGTTTTTGTGACATTATTCAGATTATTAGGAAGAAATTACCTGACATTTGTATGTTTCTCTGTGGTTGTGTTTTGCTTAGATTCCAACACAACAAACAAGTTTTGTTTTCTGGTGATTTTTCTTCCTTTTGTTTTGTAGTTGAGTTCATGACTGAAAACAATGGTCAGTGCAAGCACCAGGAAGTGAGCCACTTTGTCACGTCTACAAACAAGTTTAGAGCTGTTGGTGAGGCATCTTCTGCTGAAGATGCAAATCATTCACACTCCCACTTCCCTTCCTCTCTAAAGCTGAATAATCACATGGTAACTTTAGGATTTCTATATGCCCCCGTCAGCAGATTTATAGATGAGAATCTTTTCTTGCTCTTGCCAATCTTGTTGCAACTCCCATTTCTCAGTCACACTCCCCAGGCATGGAAACTTTGACATCTATTTATAGCTTCCCCTTATCTGCAGACATTAGTTAGATCCTCAGTTTGGTGCATAAAGTGTGCTCAATGCCTACTACAAAGTTTGAAGAGTTTGTGACTTTACATGATAATATCCACTTACATTCATCTATTAAGCTATATGATGACTTTAGGATATAGGTGGATGATCTTTTTTTTCCCTTCTACGGCTAAATTTGGGCAAAACTGAGTTTTTGTAGTTGGCCCAAAAAGTCTAAATAAATTGGCGTGTAACAGGATACTTACTCTAATCCAAAACGCCACTGTGAGAATAGCAACAGAGACTAGACATAAAAATGTCTCTCTCATATTGGCTTCTCTTCATAGGTTCCCTGTTGAATCCAGAAATGCTTTTAAAAGCCTGTTCCTCACAAAAAAGGTTTTGAATAATCAGGCCCCATCATATCCTATACAATATCTGAGATAAATAAAAAACTGAACTGAGTTGAAACAAATTTTTCAGCTCTCTGATATGATGAAACTCTGCAAGTTGAAGGCCTACACAATTCTATAGTTTATAAGTTTGTCGTGTGAACCAATAACCATCTGAAAAAAGCATATATTTCCAGTTTTATTTTGGAGATAGTGACAACATTTTATCTGCAGACTTATGCAGCATCGCATCATTTTGGCGTTCAGACAGGCCACAGATTAAAGAAATAAACACACACAGTGTATTGACGATTTAACATTCAAAATCACTCTCCATAATTCTGTTTAAGGATGAAACATCACAACAAATGGAAAACAAAGATTTCAGTTATTCACATGCAATGTCATGGTAACTATTCCCTCTATGGAACTTTAACTTTTGTTTTCTTGTAAAACTTGGACAGTCAGTTGATATGAAATATTAATACACCACATAATAAACCACAGTGATTAAAAAACTTGGCTTTAAACTGCATAATGATCCATTATAGTGCAGAGCTAATGTTAGGTACTCATTTCCCAGACAGGGCAGGTAGTGCTGCTTGCAACTGCATGACAAACTACATAGTAAAACTCATTTACTCCAGACCTTAAAATTGAAGTTTGGTTGGTGTAAAGACAGGAGGCATAA